ATTTCACGAGGGAAACGCCGCATCGAGTTCAATAGGTTAGGCTTCAGGGGATTCCCCGCTGAGCCAGTCTGGTATTCTGGTTTGAATTTCGCGGGGTGATGAGTACCGATGGAGGATTTGTAATCAAATGGGAAGGGGTTGAAATTCGCAGCTCAAATACATGTGAAATATTGGATTTCGAATTTCATGGGTAAAATTCGAGGGCCCAATATTATCAGCAAAATATTCACAGTCGAATCCAACTGCTCAAATGTGGGTCAAATGCGAAAGACTAAATTTCACATCTGAAATTCGATAAAACCCCGAAAAAATAATAATTTCACATAAATAAAATTTCGAATAAAGAAAATATTGGCTTGAATGAAAAAATATTTGGGATTGACGCAGAATTATTCATTAGATTGAAATAAATAATTCTTTAGGGCGTGCAGAGGACTCAATAGCGTAGGCGAAATGACGAGTATTTCAGGGGTGAAACGTGCCATCTCGTTATTTAAATTTTCAAATTTTGTGGGTCCAATTAAAAATTCAATTTCACCAGCATTAGACTAAATGTCGAAACACTCGGGCGAATAATGAATATTAAACTTCGCATTATATCCGCGAGATTAAAATATATGATCCAGGGGGGGTCACACACGTGGCCCAGCCAAACCAATTAGACCAGCACACGATCATCCAAATAAAAATCAAATATATTTTATTTGCCAAGGATTTTGCAAGTCTTATTAGCATACTAACGACCGAATTCCCCCGTCTGCTCTTCTTCGTCTTCACGAAGCATAATTCGCTCAGCATCAAATTTCGTGACCCCGTGTGGACGGCCTCCACTGTATATTCACACAGGGTTAAACCAAAGGCACATGAATTACTAAAATTCCTCCGGATTTCGTGATATGCCAATGAAAAAAAAATCTGAGAAAAAGGAGAATAAAATGGTTAAAAAAAATTAAAGAAATTCACAAAATTGGAGAAGATGCGGGATGATGAGCGTGAGTCAAAGGAGTGGCCGTGGCCGGTTAAAAAAAAAGATCCGTATGAATATTAAGGCGATTTCTCTCCCATGTTTCTTTTAGTAGTTCGTTGCACCGGGAGAAGAAATATCCGTTTACCTCGTTTGTAATAAGGGGGCGCTTGTCGAAAAAATTCGGGTCGAGTGGAGCCCCAATATCATGCTAATAATGTACTCATCCATTGTCTCTGGTGAATTCAATGCCCCTGACAAATTTATGCTACTGACCATTCTACCATTTTAACCACTTGAAAATGGGCCTTTTATTACTCATCGATAAATATTTTGGCCGCCTCGTCATTCTTTTTATTCATTGACTCAATTTTCGAGAGTCAAAGCAGTCATTGCGAAAAGTTCATTAGCGAAATTCCCAGTGTAATCAACATATTAACAAACAGCAAATAAAATAGGACTTTGCCATAAAAATTTTCTAAAAATCCACTAGTCTCGACGAAATTCAATTGGGATAAATGAATTTTTCCGTCAATGCACATCACGAGTGCAATAACCAGGTAAAACGTCAACCGTTGGAATTCTACGTGGCATCCGAATTGCGGCCAATTATAGCAAGCCGTATAATCGTCGCTGGAACATAACTCGAGAGAAATACGTGTACACGGGGATGGGGTAATGCACGCACGTGTACAAGCCATGTATACACATTGGGGATACTTGTTGCTTTACGATCGTACTAATCGTTTCTACGTCCCCAGTGGACAACTATTGCGGGTCAATCCTTTAGCCGGGATTTTATAGTTTTGAGAGGTTTCACCTGTTGGTTTGAGCATTATAAGGTCAATGGGCAGGAGCCACGCGGAAGTCGCGACAGCTATTTCAGAGTGCCTTTCACGATTCACCGGAAATAACGCTTTGTGTTCGCCTTATGGGAAATGGAAATTAGGTGCTGAGCTGTTAGAAAATTATTTTTTTTTTTATTCCGACTGGAAAAACAAGACGCTCTTCACAATCAATAAAAATTCATACGACTCGAGTGTTACATTATTTACATAGAATTTCATAGTATCACACAAGGATTTCTGAATAATAAAAAAATGGTGATAAAAAATGGAAAACAAGTGACACATTCTTCCAACTTGTAGCAATTCCGCAATTATTCACTCAATTTTTTCACCGACTATTTAAAAAAACACCTAGAAATACATAGTATCCACAGGCGGTTATATAGCAGGTGCTTGTGTATTCTGCGGTGAGATTCTCGACCTGTGAATACTCGGAAGCGAGGGGGGAAATACCATCATCTCAGTTAGGAGACAGAAAAGATACGAGGGGGCGAATGTGTGTGGTTGCTCGTGTTGTATATAAATATAAAATCTCGAGTTGACCCCGGGGAGGAAACCGCGAACCACAGATCGCGCCCATAAGCGAGCGATTTACGATCGTTTCTTTTTTTTTTTTTTCTCTCTCTTTCTCTTTTCACTTTTGTAACGTACATGGGAATATTCTTTTTCACTTCTATTCGAGGATGTGTACATTTTTTTGGGGTTGAGGTGGGGGTCTGAGTGATGTTAAAGTGTAAGAGACTACACCTACGGATGAACTCGCCGTATGTGGGCCAAACCATTTCTCGAGAGACGACATTTCTGGGTTCCGTACAGTTTCGTCGGTTAAGCCATTTACGATTGCCTTTACGAGCTAATAAATTCTGACTCTCCAACACCATGAGGATCATGGATCGTCAACAGATAATACCCGTTGTTCCCGATATTTTGTCACCATGGGAAAACGTCTAGTAGAATTTTCGGTGGAATGTCTCATCCCTCGTTTCAACTCGGAGATGATGATGCAATAAAATTTCAGTGTAATTAATGAAATTTGTAATTACCCAAAAATTTTCCAACGAAGAATTCTCATTCCTGTGGAAAATCCTCCGAGGCGGAATTTCTATCGTCTTGATACGTGTCGTCACAGCATGTAACACAATTTTGCAATTTATTTCCTTTGAAATCGGGAGCGTACGCTTCATGTATTAGTATTCCCCCGTAACGCGAATCGAATTTGCTAATTTTATTGCGTGCGTCCTAATTTTTCTCATATCAAGTCGATGGACGTATTTGTGTACATGAATTGCCACATCATTTTATATCGGGTGGAAAGAGAGCCGATGCCCTTGATCGGGAGACACTTGGCATTCAGGAGGATTCCCGAGTAGTTGCTTTACCATGAATTGCGCAATTGGAGGGATCAAAATGGCGTATGTAATGCCCATGTAATGCCCATGTAAACCCTCCAGAATAATCCACCGGTCCCTGCAGGATTTGTCCTGCAAAATAAAAATCTTCTCCCCTCCCGATGAAAAATGCCCGATTTTTTTTATCAAGAAAACCTGAACGCAGGGAAAACACTTGAATATTCTGAATGACTTGAAATTCACCACCCAAATTCCTCGTATTTCATCCGTTCCCCATGAAACGTTGGATCTCTCCGCAATCGAATCGGCGATCTCGAGGGACCCGTTGAAATGTGAATCGATAACTCGTCCCGTCAATCCCCGTCGCTCCCAACGATTCGCCGGACGTACGAATGGGCGATCAACCTCACCAAGATCTCCAGTACGTGCATTACCCCAGGTCCTAGACACATTTTCCAGAGAAACTGATGCAAGCAAATCGCCCAGGAGACAAATTCTCCTCTTCCTTATCGGAGAATCCTTTCTCCCTCTCACTTTTCCATTGGCCTACCCACGGGAGAGAGAGAAAAGAAGTGGATTCATTCAAAAAACGACAAAAAGGGTGGGTAAAAAACGTCTTGACGTACGATCCTGCAGTCGAGGAGGTCTTGCCATAACGGTTGGAACTTACGGAAACTACTGAGTACCTGAGATCTCCCTCTTTCCTCCGCTCCTCTTGTCCTCTGATGGAGAACGATGTGTGTACCACCGGCGAAGTCAATCGACAATTGCAAATTCCTACGTTTTCCAAAGTATATCCTGAAGACGTGCGTTAGATTCTTATTTGGCAAATTTATGTTGCTTTAACTTTCATGGGTTGAACATCTTATCATTTGAAATATAAACGAAATGTCATTTGAATTGGTGATTGAAATTATTTATGATTTTTATTTCAAAGCCATCAACCATAACAATTATTTTATTTCTCATTTTTTTCCTCATTGAAACATCCAGCAAATGTTGATTTATTTCATTTGTAGAATCCATAATGAGTGAATATTATTCAGTCGCTTGAGAATAAAACTCCCAGGGAGATTATAATTCACAGAAGAATTCACTTCCACGAAGGAGATACAGAAACCTCATCGAACGCTTAAGGAAAACGAGAGTGATACATTTCACATTCCTAACACGCACACGGAGAGTTCAGGCCTCAAGGTCCGACCCGCGAGAGAGCCCGTGCGTTCCATTTAACCGTTGGGTATTTGCCAAAAAAAAAAAAAAAAAACGAAAGGAGAAAAAAGAAATATGGAAAGAAGGTAGAGGCATGAGATACAGTCCATTTTGTGGTTAAAAAAAAAAATTTCCCTGAATCTCTCTGGCGTTTTATTGGTGTCCAGTCCAGTGGTACGAGTCATCCCAGGTGGAATGCCCATCAAGGAAGGAAACGCTTCGGATTATCTGGAAATGAGATCAAACGATGAATCATGTGGTGAGGCTGTAAACTGGTGACTCTAGTCATCCCAATTGCAGGAACTTGGAAAAATGAAGACAATGTATTCGACTTATAGTAATTTGAAAGCGTCGATTTGTGAGCAATTCAATGGTACACCGAAAGAGAGAATAATATATTTTCATCAGTGGCAGTGAAAAATACCGGTTGTCATGGATCCGGAAGTGGTGTCCCGTGCACGTCTTGCCCGTCGGCCCATCCAATTCCTTGACGATGCCAACAGGTGGCTATGGGAACCACACGGTGCACCATGATGGTGAGGTTATATACCTGAGGAAATGCAAGCGAGGTCAAGACGGCGACGCGCGACACGGAACCCTCTCACCCGGTCGCCTAGACAGGCAGACATGACCACCGCGCAAGTGCGAGTGAGTCAGAGACGATGATAAGAAATAAGGAAAAAAAAAATAATAATAAAAATGAGAGAAGCATCTTCCTGAGCTTGTGTGCTGCGCACTCGCGCGCCAACTGTTCAGGCACTGGGTACAGTACGCCTGGACAGGCCATTTCACATTCCCACGTCCTTAATATAGATTGTTGATACACGAGTAGACGGTTCAACGCACACACGGATACATATTCAGTGTTGGCGATTCATGGGTCGGCGGGTATATAACAGCCGTGGCACATGAGGGGTGAGGAGGGGGGAACAGGGGGGGGGGGCGACGAAGGAAAGGTGAAATGGACCTAGGTGGGTGGGATAGTCTCACGGCACAGGTGATGGTATATAAAACTACTTCTCGGGAACGTGTGCTTCATAACTGGAAAACTTGATCTTTCAGATCTTCTTCTGGGGGAGGGTAATGCATTTAATGGAATGGATTTTAAACGTCTTTGAGTTGTTTTTGTCAAGCCACAACTTGAGTGATGGTGAATTTAAAAAACTGACTGAATATTTAATTAAATTCTTATGAACTCCTGACTATTTTATGAGCTATTGCAAAAGTCTACATGTGTTGTTTGAGTGATGAAAGTTCTCATTGACTACAAACTGATGTTTTTCCAATGCGAGAAGTTAGTATAAGGCGCTGAGCAAATAGCACCGGGATTCCGGGCGTACCAGCTGATTTGAGATAATCCCTCCGGTTTGTCTGTCGACGTGCGACAGATTTGTAGCACGCGAGATCCCTAAATGGTATTTTAGAGTGACCGACAGCGGTTCAAAGTGGATTAGCTGTCGGTGATAAACCGAGTCAAGTATCAAAAATAGAGATACAGGTCGTGAAATTCTTGAGGGAGTGTCGAAATTGCGCAACGATAATGGGGATAGGTGAATTTAGATTACCGATGTGATTTAATTAATTGAAATAACAGGTGACCCTCAGCGGTGGAATGGTAACCGCTGGACAACGGCACGATAACCTCTTTCACACAGTAGCTGTGACAGGCGGTATATGCGGATCATCAGATGTGCGATTCCGCAGTCCATGTGCCATTCGCTGGACAAGTCTACCCCAACGATCTGTAAGATTGCTACTGTAAGATTACAAAGCCACTCTGGGTTATACCCCCATCCGACCGTGCCAAATGTGCGATCCCCGCGATGCCATTCATTTTCATCTCACTCATTTCTTCTTGCTCGCCCTCGGGGCGACAAACTGGCAGATATTATACATAATGTGTCAGCATCGCTGTACCTCAGCAAGGAGAATTGCACACAGTATCTCATCATTACTCGTATGTGTGGTTAGGTTATATAGGTACTGCAATGACTCGTCATTTTCACGTCACTGACGCGAAATGCTGCCGTGAGAATAGTTCCTCAGCGTTCTCCCTCATCATGCTGGTGGATGACAAGAAGACCTCAATGTCCACCCGCAAACTCACGAGCGCTTCATTTGACCTCAGCATTTTTTTTTTAATGGTACATAAAAAAACCGTTAACTCACAGCAGTTGGGCCTCCGCGCCCACGAGGTACCTGCATTCTCCAATCATCGCCTGATACCAGATGTTGATTTTCAATCTGTCATGACCTCTTCAAAATCCCGATGATGCAAGATTCGTCTTTGGAACAGACCTGATTATTTTTTATTGAATCAGTTCACTGGATCTGGATTAATTATAAACCTTGTTGACAAAATATTTGCGACATTCTCTGTCTCAATGCGCGACTGAATCGTTTACAAATGGATACTCTCAAATTGCTATGAGTTGAATACCTTTTTTTATAGACTGGTTGTCTCGAGAGTATGACTTGTCTCCGGTGCTTTAGCGTTACGAGTAAGAACCGCTGAATTTTCTAGATGATTGTCAAAGAATTGGGCTGACCCAAACGGCTCGTAAATTAGGTCTCGATAAACCGAGTTGTAAGCAGCTTCTTCGCTGAATTTGCCTATCCCCTGTGGGGTTTCTCTCTACATCGAGTCGGTTTTATCGCCGGCCGACAAGCATTTAACTTTACGATCGACCACGCCGCCATATGTGCAGGCTCACCCTTTCTCATTTCTCTGGGCCTCTTTCAGCTAGAGGTATATTCCCTATCTCATGGATCGGTGCAAATGGACCTAGCCATGCTAATTCTCATGACACGCGTTAAGAATCTGACGTTTAATCCCGTGGAAATGCAACGGCGTTGAAGCGCAGGCCTCGGGGCATGAGCTTTACCTGTACGACTGAATTCTATTTACCGATCACGTTGAATTATTTCTCCATCCTGAGATCTCAACAGCTTCAATTATTGATCAAATTCATTGCTCTCTGTTTGCAGTCATTCTTCGGGCGGACTTACAACAACCTGGGCAGCATATCCGAGTGCAAGAACGGTGGGGTGTGCGTCATCAACAAGAAGAACCGAACGGCCTGTAAGGCCTGTAGATTACGCAAGTGCTTGATGGTGGGTATGTCGAAATCGGGTTCGCGGTACGGAAGACGATCGAATTGGTTCAAGATTCACTGTCTCCTCCAAGAGCAGACCAACGGAAATCAGGGTGGCAATCCCTCGGGCTTCGGTGGTGGATTTCTTCCAGGATTTCTTCCTCCATCCCATTCAACTCCAAGTGTCTTCAAAGACAAGGATCGTGCATCTCCCAGTCAAGAAGACCTAGCCCTTCAGTCACACCTGCTGCACGTGGCAATGCTGAAACAGGAGCGCGAACGAGGCAATAAGTCACCACATCCGGACGATGTAGCCTTGCAAAATCAGCTGAGGTTACTCGCCTGGCAGAAGGAGCGAGAGCGAGCTGGTCACCACCAACAGCAGCATCAGCCTGGCACCCCACCGAGAGACAGTACACCACCGCCATTCAGCTACAAGCACCCAACGACCTCTCCTATGTTTCCCGTGAACTTTGCACCGGATAAAATGATGACTCTACCATCGAGTCCACCCGAAGTCTTCCGGCCGTTCCTTCCGGTGTACAACGGCCGAACAGCTGACACACCCAGTGACAGTGGAGCATCATCAGCCGATGGCAATGATCACGACGAATCGCGGAGCAATTCAGCTTTGAGTTTCTTCAAAGTTGCATCACCAACGCTGTCCGAACGTGAATTCCCACCGAGAAAAATCAATGCCACAGTCACTCTCACCACTGGCTATCATCCACATCATGGCCTTGGTCTGATTTATCCACCACCTGGCCTGGTAACACCAGCAGCATCTCAGCACTCACCACGAGGTGGTGATCTACTTCTGGTCAGTCCAAGTCCTGGTGGCTTAGCTGTCGAGCAGGATGAGCCCATCGATCTCAGCATAAGATCCACAAGGAGTTCGCCGAGGCCCAGCAGGAGTCCGGTTCAGAACACCGAGAGCCGGCCCGAGAGCAGGGGCAATCTCACCGAGGAGACAACAGCCAAAAGCAAACCCCTCGATCTCACGTGTGGTGTCAAAAGGCCTGCTGAATTATCACTTTCGCTGTGAATATAGAGATATTATTTTCTACAATATTTTTCATCGAATGGCTGAAGAGTGAGGCTGGACCTGGGTTCAAGCTTGACCATTGTGTTCAATTTGTACATAATATTATTCAAATCACGGAGACAATTAATTTATTATTGAGTAGTTAGATGAAAGAGTTTTATTTTGTATGTTTTATGGTTTTCCCTTGATCCCCCTTCCTTATTGATAATTTTAAATCTATACTTGTTTCACGAGATAAATTATGTACGCCCAATTCATAAACTTACTAGAAAGGCCAGATGTTAAAGTGCCTTAATATATATTTATATAAATAAAATTTCAGTGGCGATGTGATCGAGCGAGTCGTGACCGTCAGAAATGAAAAACTCTCAGCTCACAAAAATATGACCGTCAGGTGACAGTCACTGACGGTCACCCTGTATCATCCTCTTGTCAATAATCGATCAGATAATATTTGATCACTGACAAATTGCGCAACGTGACAATTATTTTCTTCCGTGCCAGAAAATTTATTTGGAACAGATCGTTTGATCACATTCCCGCCGATCTGTACACACTAGAAAATGGCGAGTTAGATTTAAGGAAATGGCAGCCAGTAACATTGGGCACTAAATAATTCTCATCCTACGAATCTCCATAAAACCCCATCAACGAATATTATGTTCCTAGGGTATAAAAAAAAATTGTCAATTTGTAAATAATGAAAATTGATCATCATAAATCGAGAATTTTTATATTGTACATACTAGTATGTAAGAGGTGATGATGAGGCCAGTAAGCGACAGAATAAAAAAAAAAAAAAAAAAAAAATTTTTTTTATTTCTCAATGGTACAAGTCCACCTGTGTTCATTTATTACCCAACCTGTGTTCGAGGCTCGCCCATGAATTGCAGAAGTGCAAAGGCGTAACATGTATTGGAAGCGCAGCGCAAACCCTCTGATCTTTTGATTTTCCAAACGATATATTTACGACTGTGCGTTAATCCTAAATCCTTCAGGTACGGTGAAGGTGAGGTGGAGGGAACTTGTATTTTCCGAACAGGGAATCACTTAGCTGGCATATAAATCACATCGGAGGAGTTTCAGCTGCATCAGGAAAGTGTGTACACAAGGGAGAAAACTACCGTGGGCGATACTCCGAGGTGCTGACCAGAACAATCGGCCTTGGTGCTTTTTTTTTTTTCTCAACACATTCTCCCTATTTTTTAACAGCTTTTAGGTTGTACGTTTGAGAATACCGAGTTGGTGATCCTTGGAGTCGTGAAAACATGCGAAGAACTGGAGAACATTAATCAATACTACCAGGAAGAGCGTGGATTGCAAAATCATCGAGTTACCGATACCTGTCGTGAGATCGTGACGTTTGACCTTGGTGAGATGCACATTCTTGGCTAGTGCGCCGGTTATTTTTAGCTTGATGCATCATTTGTATAAACAGATAGAGTTTATTGTTGATGGGTGGATCGGTATTATTTTTTATTGGGTCTGAAAATATGAGGGATGTTCACATGCCGATTGTTGATGAATCGGCCCAGGAAATGCGTCAACAGCTTGGACTGTTAAGATCGGTAAACAATCGTTTGGACTTGTCATGATTGTAGCTAAGAAAATGGAAGGGATGATGAGTTGATGAAGATAGAGGCTGATTTGAAATTCATTGTCTCACCGGTAACGATTTCTCATGGGATTATCTTTGTAAAAAGCGTGAAGGAAGTGCAATGAGTCGGCACGTGCAAGCCATCGGATGCATGAAAAAAGCAGTGGATACAGCGATTAAGCTATGCAATCGGCAATTATCGGCAATTTGATCCGGTTATAACTCAATTCGAAGTAATTGGGCCGCTATGGCACGACTCTTGCGGCGCTCTCCTACGGCGCGCGTCGTTTAACGCCGCGGTGGGCCGTAAATTGCCGATCGACGATCCGCCAATGCCACGACGACAATCCATCAAGCATCTCCCCCTTTTTTTAAAATATTAATTCACATATTACATTTTTATTTATTCCCGAGGAATTTTCCAAGTAGTCGGGTGATAAATTTCCGAACGATCTCAATTACCAAAATTGCATCGTAACTATACATTAATTTTGGAATTGAAATTTTGGCTTTGACTTAACGGAGCGGCAAAAAGCCGTCGCCGAAATACCGATCACGTCTCTGGAATATTTCAATTTTTGCGGTTGACCGAGGATGCGGATGAGGAGAAACGCCCGGGCATAAATAACGTAAAAATAAATACGAGTGAAAAAATAAACACCGGTCCCTGGATACTCGGGGCAATGTGACATGTGACGTGTCTCCTGGGGAGAAAAGCCCACCGGTGCTCGATTTTCTCGTGGAATAGAGTATCACGACGTGATCGAAAAGCCAATCGAGCTGGTCAGAGAGACGGCGAGATATCGGGTATTCAATGTCTAATGGAGTCCGATCGCTGTATCGATTACCACCGATTAAGAGCAATCGATTGCGTACCTTGTCAAATTTGTCAACGGGCGCTAACCGGACCAAAGGGACATAAACGATCGGCGTGCAGTTGCCACCGAACATTGCAAAATCATTCAAGTCCATTTCGGATTGAAAATCAACTCTAGGATGACGGAATCTCGCGATTTTCGCGGATAAATAACGCTTCAATCATATCCTTTTTTTTTCACTCACTCAATCACGATTTTAATTATTTTACAATTCACTGAGAAATTTTCGTTATTGATAACGTTATGATTACCAAGATCAAAGTTTCACATTGGTGTGTAATCCCGATTATTTCTAGCTAATAAAAAAAATTTATACTACGTGCATCGAGTGGATTTAACTGATCATATCATTTCGAGAGAATGCAACGCACACCCTCGGAGTGGAGAATGAACAGGCTCCTCTTGCACCATAATATTATTCGATAAACGGCGATGGCTTGTATATGGTTTACATAAGCGTCTCGAGGAGCACATGACCCCAGCGCACTTCCTTCATGCTTCCAACGAGATCTAAGCTCTTCGCCATGACCTGAAAGCTTCGCATTTCCAAAATAATCACTTCAAAGGACTGAGATCGTGTTTGAAAATAGTGGCGCATCCTTTTCGAGTGAAGCAATGGTCTCTCTCTCTGTGGATAGGATGGGCATGCCCCTCTCACCCATAGATCACTCTTCATCTCCAAAGGGTTAATGGGGTTTCAGGAAAATTGCTTCAGCACCGAGGGGATATCCAGAGGTCCGTGACAGCCTCAAGACAGGGTGAGAAATCATAATGTCCGGAGATGAAAATACACATGTGGCGTTTGTAATGATCTTTTCCGGCAATTCTGACGATTCAATCTCGATTTCAAACCGATTTTTTTCGCAAACTCATAAGATACCAGTCAACAAAATGAGAAAAATCACAACCCGGAAATAATTACGGTAAGTGATGAAATTAATAAAGTGAATGAATGAGTATTAAAAAAATATTTTCGTAAAAATAATGTACTGAAAAATGAAATTCATGTGTTGGCTGCATTTTCATATATTTTAGGTGTGAAAAATAAAAGCCCCGAAGTAATAATTAACGTAAATGATAAAATGGATGAATGTATATGATTTTATCGCGAGATAAAATCATCCCCGCCCTCAACTCATTCGAATAAAAAATTGATTTTTTGTCCCTTTGCCGAGATGAGTATTCTAGATCACACGCATTACTTGGGGATGGGCAATGGTGAGTGTAATTACCAGGCATCGAGTTACGAGTACTCGGTGGTCCCGCCAGCCTCTCCGGTTACTCTCCGAACGAGTTTATAATCGTTCGGTGTGCGAATAGGCAGATCGTTTTCAATGCCTCCATGATTGAGACGTTCCATCCACCTGACTTCATCTATGAGTTGGAGATGCCAGGTGAATCGAGTGATCAACACCTTTTCTCATTTTGCTGGGACATGACGTATGACTGATCAAGGGATTCATCTTGACAATTGAACCAATGTTTAAACTTTATATCATTGTCTTTCATGAATTATTATGTCGATGTAAAAAAAATTGCCAGGAGAATGAAAAAATCCGAGAGATGAAAAATGGTGGAGTTTATCCTGAACCTGACACTTTGAGCAGTTGACTCGTCAATTCCTCAATCAGTCCCAGGTGAAACAAAATGCCAAGAGTTGGAATAAATTCATCCCAAACATGGTAAACCAATTCCTTAAGGCTTTATGTAAGCTATTGGCCACTCATTCCACCTGGCGTTTGAGTTGGCCGTATCGAGAGGCTAAAATATCACGCCGATCGGGGCAAATCGGCCTCACAGTCGGCTGCCGTCTCATATAAAATCAACTAATGCCAATACGTTTGAATCCATCCCAAGAATCAGCTGCACCGGGGCCTCAGATTGACTGGTGAATGTGTGTATCGGGCATTTCTCTAAAACGGGAAAAACATCGTTAATGGATGCCAATGCCACGGGAAATGCCACTGTGTTCAGAGGTTTTTCGCATTTTTTTTTTCTCTTCATTTTCCTTATCGGATCGGTCAACCCCGACGACCTCGGATACAGCTCAACAGGAAGTAAACCAGTTAAATGAATTTTTGTTGTTAATACAATCTTACATTCCGTACACACCTCGGGAGTAATCGTGTTCCTTTATCTCTCAGCTATTTCCTCGCAGGATATTTTATTCCATTGATTTTTCGGTGGAGTTCTTTCCCGTTTTCTCACATTTCCCTTTTTTTTCAATTTTGACGCACCGAGAACATTCACTTTGAAATACAATTCAATATTCACTTGTATTTTTAAATTTAAGTTTAAATACAATCATGTAATTATCTGGAATCCTCTCTCATTATGATTCCACCAATCAAACGATTTCAAGGTGCATTAACACATGTCCCCCGAAAGAATTCAAATAAACCCGACAATTAAAATTTTCCACCGCAATATCCGCACGGATCACTCAATAATTTGCCAAAAAATATTCCCGGTGTTGCATTTGGGCCCTACAGGTGGGCATTATCATCGATAAGCATCAAATATCGCGGATAACATCGTCACGTTGCCGAATCTGTCGCCGGAAAAAATGAGAGAACAAAAAAAAAAAAAAAACAAAGACCCCGTTACACCGAGACCCCGGAGAATCAATATAATAACACGTCTGGGCCCACGTCGATATATTAATTATTCCTCAGCATACTAATTAACCGATCCCTGTAATCACGAGGGCACCGTGAAATGCAGGAAGATGAGAATAAATAAACACACGAGTAAAAAAATTTTCCCTGGAATGAGTGATAATCTGAAAGGCAGTAAACGTATTCTAGTCTTGACACTGGAGACAAACTCCTTCCTGACATCCGTTCTCCGGTCTGGAGACCCGTTTTTATTATTTATGCTTTTTTTTTTAACGCTCATTCTTTAATGTCTTTCCTATTCTCCGGACGTATTGACAACAGAGGACGGAGGAAACACGCACCAGAGGTACCAAAGAGGAAGACGACGAGACAAACTCCGATGTATCTGGGCTCGTAAAAAGGAAAAATAAAAAAAAAAACAGTGAACAAAAGCGGTCGCTCCTGTGAATTCGATGAAGGGAGAAATGTTGAGTGGCATCCTAATGAGCTGAACGAAATGGTGATATCCGGAGATTGTGGCGCTTCAATATTTTCTGTTCATATGCACTTGTACTCCAGTGAGATTATGGATTATGGAATTGTTCGGGTGAATGTTTAAAAAAAAAATCGATGTATTTTCCATTGGCAATAAATTCCACCTCAATTTCCAGGTTCACATGTTCCCCACAGGTGTGATGATTGCAATAACCAACGGTTTGTAGTACACGTGAGTCGTTTTATTCCACTGGGACACTTCCGG